GCATCTTCAGGCTGGATCCTCCCTCTGACTTCCAGACTCAAATATCCTGCATAGTTGAGCTCACATGTCCAAACCCAACTCATATGCTAACAACTACTCCTCCTTCTGCACTCACCATCTCAAAGAATGTGCTGCCAAGGACCAAAGGAGGATCCTCCTTTGCTCCTTCCTGTCATCTCCTTCCACATCCAATCAATCACCAAGTGCTATCATTCGGTCTCTTAATGTTCTCCTGAGTCCAGACACTTCACCTCTCTATCCTTCACCTTAATTAATGGAAGACTCCAATCTAGTCTCCTGGTGTCCCTTCCTACTGCTCACGCTTCTCCTCTGGTTCCCCATCCGAGCACTGCTTCCCCGGACTGTAATCACCTTCATCACGTCTGCCTCCCCTTCTAGACTACGAGCTAATGATCACAAGGGCTACATCTAGTTTACTGTTGACCCCTCGAACCCAGCACAGAGCCTGGTACATATTTAGTCAATGTCTATTAAATAAATAAAAGAATATAACCAGAAGTAATGAGCCTCAAATGAAAGTGGGTTTTTTACAATGAGGAAGGAATAATTGGAGGTAGCATTTGGAAGAGGAAATGCTAATAACTTTGTCTCCAGCCTTGTGATAAATAAGGTCTGGAAGAACAGAGGGTTCTACTGGAGTCATGTTCATAAAAAAAATGGGAAGGCCCCTCAGTAAAGAAATTCATATGTTATGTGACTTTGAGCAAGGTAATTTACTTTACAGAACCTCAGCTTCCTCATCCATAAAATGGGTTTAAAATATCTGCCTCGGTAGGCTTTGTGAAAACAGAATCATATAATAGCAGGTTAAATGCTTAGTGCAGTATTTAACTCAGTAAGTGAGCCTAAGTGCTCCACAAATGGTTTTTAAATAGTTCCGATTAAAGCCAAGAGGAAGCAGGAACATTTAATGACTAGGCTAATGATGCACGGAGGTTTAGAAGGAATTTGGAGTCATGGGGTGTCACCAGATTGAACAGGGGAGAAACCTCAGAGCAGGATGGAAGACTGCAAGAGAGAAGAGGGTCTGCAGAGGGTCCTTGGGTTTTCCTTTCTGGCCATCATTCTCAGCTTCTCCCTGTCCGAGCACCCTGACTTTCCTTGAGGACCTGCCAGTCCTTCATTCTCAGTCCCTGTGGCCTAGCCCCCTACCCCTACATCCACATGAAGGTCTGCCTCAGAGACCCGGACAGCCAGAGCCTTCTGATTCCCCGTCAGGGCAATTAGATCAGGATGAACAGGATGGCACCTAAGCCAAAGCAATCAATCCCTGAGTCTCAGGGGAGGGTACAGCTCAGTCGTAGAGAGTGTGCTTCGCATGCCCGAGGTCCTGAGTTCAATCCCCGGTACCTCCACTAATAAATAAACAAACCTAGTAACTACCACCACCACCCCAGAAAGTAAAATAAAGTGGCCTCAATAAAGCATCAAAAAAATCATTAATTAAAAAAAAATAATCCCTGAGTCTCAATTCCATTCTAGGACATCAAATGGAGCTACTGAAACAGAAGCAGGTCTCTTCTGCAGGGTTTGCCCTCACAACGAGCTGTTGGCAGCCATCTTTCAACCACAAAGGAGGAGGCTGCCTGAAAGGGGAGCCAGTGCAGTGGAAACAGGACCTCTAGGTGGAGCGAGCAGCCCTGAGGGCGGCGGGTGCTGTCCGAGGCCCCTAGCAACGCGTGAAGTCTAGTCTCTCCCTGGACTTTGTTATATAAGCCATTACGGCGAGTCTGAGTTTGAGCTGGGGTTTCAGTCATTGGGGTCTCTCTCTCTCTCTCTCTCTCCCTCCACACACACGCACACACACATCTGAGTCCATGAGAATAGTTAAATTAGTCCTCCAGGGCAAATGTTGGCAAACATGCCCAAGGCCTCAAAGCAGGTTAGCAACAGAGCCTGGACCAGAACCAAGTCCTCCCAGTTCCCTCCTCATCTATTCCTAATTCTTCACCTTCAGGACACAATCCCAACCCTACCGCCAGCACTTAGGCCCAAGCCTAATCTTCCTTTCAACTTGCAGCTCCCTCTCTGCTACCACACTTTTAAAGCTAATGTTACTTGTTTACTATGTGTCAAATGCTGAGCTAAACCCTCTACATCCATGATTCTCTTAAATCTTAAACTTAATCTTTAAAAACCACTTGAAAGGATTCTTCGTGTTCTATAAATGAGAAAGGTCAGAGGCTGAAAGACAACCCGAGATCGGGCAGGCAACAAGCGGCAGAGCTAAGATGCAAACTCGGGTCTGCCTGACTCTGAGACCACAGCTTCTTGGCCTGCTGTCCACAGGCTCTGAAGCGTTCCCGCACAAACTTCGGGGGGCAGGGGTAGAGGAGAGGCAGCAAACCCGCTCAAAGTAAAAGAAAATTTATACATCTGTGTATTTATCTGGGGGAAGGTTCAAATGTGATATTGTCAGGTTCTCAAAAGAACCCAGGATCAAAAAAAAACTGTTAAGAACTTCTGGCTTTATGGTAAACTCTCTGGGGCCAAGACACAAGCCTGGGCTATAACAGACCTTTAGGGAACTCAGCCAAGCTCTTCCATCTCAGCCATTCCATAAACAAATTCCAAGCGGCTCAGGCCCCACGGAGGAGCAGGCAAGTCCTCAGGGGCTGACCAGAACACTGGCTGCTGAGTTTCTGGTGTGGCCACAAGGAGCCTCAAGTCCCCTGGCAACCTCCCTCCAATCAGCTGACCTTCACATTCTCCCTTTTTCCCCTCAAAAATGTTTGGATGCCTACTACATGCCAGACACTGCTAAGAGCTCTTCCTGTATCATTTCATTTAGCTTTCATAACAACCGTGCAAGGTGAGCGCTATTTTAGTTCTCATTTACAGGTAAGGAAACTGAAGCTCAGAAAGGTAAGTGACCTGCTTGTCTGTATTTGGAGTCTGACGAGCAGCCTTATTGTCACATGTGAAAGTCCACCAGGAAGGGTTGCCAATCAGCTCATCTCAGGAAAAGCAGCCCCAGTGGCTGACAGCCTGGCTGCTGGCCAGTTTTCAAACCAGAGCTATCAAGGCCATGTCCGGGAACTGCCCTCTGAGTGGCTGACAGGGCAGCAGGAAGACCATTTCTCAGAGAGTCTGTTTGGGAAAATGCAACTTCACTTCTGGCTTGCTTCACCCTCTTGGTTTGAGCTGGACACAATGCAATTGTTCACAGAACACGCTGCGCTGCCCTCTGCCAAGCTGACCTGGCCTCCGCGTGCAAAGCAGATTACATCAGAGCCCCCAGTGGCCCCCCTCCGGGAGCTCTGCGGCTGGTCAGAGGTGGGACTGAGCTGGCTCCCGGTCAAATAGTTTTGCTAAGGAAACTATGAATCCCCTGACAGTGTGTACACATCTGGTTTTTTTTAAAGGACTAAGCTCAGTTGAAAAGGAAAAGATTTTGAAAAGAAAAAAAAAAAGGCTTCATAATTTCTCTTGTCAAAACAAACGGTGTGCAGTCCATACCGCAGATCTATCTAGACCTTCCTTAGTTCCTACTGTATTTCATAAAACAACAATAATGCTAACTCTGACCCTGATTGTCAGACTACAAGCTGGTGCCTCTCGGAGCGGTAGCCGAGGCTGGAGACGCCTGCAGAGAGCTGAGTAATGGGGAGGCACGGGCCCCGGCATTTCCAAGAGGGAAGGCCCAGCTGGAGGAAGGCCCAAAGGCAGCTGAGGCCCAACACTCGGAGGTCCAGTCACGTACACTGTGCGACCTCTGGGCCACTGCCCTCGTTTGAAACCAGAAAAACAAGAAGATAGAGGAAAAGCTATCAAAAGCCCTAAGTGGAGGCCCGGTCTATTCACAGGGAGTCTTGCATGGCACTTCCTACTGAAGATCACGTGCTGGCAGGT